ACGGCTGAGGGTTTAGGGTTTAGGGTTTAGGGTTTAGGGTTTGCTTGCAGAGAGGCTTTGGCTAGCGGCAGTGCGGACGAGACAGCAAAGGTTTGGGATTTGTCTACTGGCAGCTGTCTAGCCACGTACAAATTTCATGAAAACAAGGTGAGCATATCTCTACGAGGGTTTAGGGTTTAGGGTTTAGGGTTTAGGGTTTGGGGTTCCGGTGAAGTAATTAGCGCAGTAGTCCTTAGTTGATGCCAAGATGCGGCTTTCTCTTCAAACTCTCTAGGGTTTAGGGTTTAGAGTCTAGGGCTTAGGGTTTAGGGTTTAGGGTTTAGGGTTTAGGGTTTAGGGTTTAGGGTTTGGGCGGTGGTTAGGTGCAAGCGGTGCTGTGGCATCCCTCTGAGGCCTCCATGCTGGCGACTGCTTCTTACGACAAAACTGTGCGGCTCATCGATGTTAGGCAACCCAATGTCGCGGTAAGGGTTTAGGGTTTAGGGTTTAGGGTTTAGGGTTTGTGCTCCTGCTGTCCGTCTCCTTTGGCGTGTTCAGTGTTGAGGGTCTCCTTTTGTCTCCTCTCGTCTCCTGCTGTCTCCTCCTGAATCGATGCGTCTCCTTTTGTCTCCTTTTGTCTCCTTTTGTCTCTCTTTGTCTCCTTCTCTTCTCTGTCTCCTTTTTTTCTCTTACTGTCTCCTTTTGTCTCCATTTGTCTCCTTTTGTCTCCTTTCGTCTCTTTTTGCCGCTCTTTGTCTCCCCCTTTCTCGTTTTGTCTCCTTTTGTCGCATTCTCACTGTCTCCGTTTGTCTCATTCCTACTGTCTCCTTTTGTCTCCTACTGTCTCCTTTTGTCTCCTCAGGTCTCAGCCCCTCTCACCGCCGACGCTGAAGCCTGCTGCTGGAATTTCTCAAACCTGGCTTCTTGCTTTGTACGCGCCGAGGGTTTAGGGTTTAGCATGAGGGTTTAGGGTTTAGCACTAGGGTTTATTAGGGTTTAGCAATAGGGTTTAGGGTTTGGGATTACCCTTAACCGCTTGGGGATAGGGTTTAGGATTAGGGTTTAGGGTGCTACGGTTTTTGCATGAGGGTTTGTGTACGTGGAGGCGGGGTTTAGTGTTTAGGGTTTAGGGTTTAGGGTTTGTTAGTGCCTTGGCCTCAGCAGAGGGGACTATCGAGAGGGGTTTAGGGTTTGAGGGTTAGCGAGGCGACGGGTTTAGGGTTTCCCAGCGTTTTAGGGTTTAGGGTTTTGGGGTGTATGTGCAGGTGAGCGCAGAGGACGGGTCTTTAGAGTGTATTGACTTTCGTAAGGCAGCAACAGGCCCTGCTTCTGCTGCAGCACCATCTGCTGCTGCTGCTGCTGCTCCTCGTTTGTGGCGCATAGCGGCACACTCAGCAGCAGCAACAGCACTGCAGCAGCAGCAGCAGTTACCAGGGCTGTTAGTTAGCTGCGGCTTAGACGAAACAGCAAAAGTTTGGGATTTGCGGTGTATAGACAGCAAAACCCAGGGGCCAGTGCTGCTGCACGAGAAAGACCTGAAAGTGGTGCGTTGCTGCTGCTGCTGCTGCTGCTGCTGCTGCTGCTGCTGTTTGCTGCTGGTATGTGCTGCTGCTCTGTGTTGCTGGTGCAGGTGCTGTGTGCTCTTGCTGGTGCTGTTTGCTGCTTCTCTGTGCTGCTGTTCTTCGTTGCTGCTCTTGCTGCGGTTTGCTGCTGCTGCTGCTGCTGTTTGCTGCTGCTGCTTGAGTGTTTGTGCTGCTTCGTGCGAAGAGCTGGCTGTCTTTGCTTCGGGGTTGCAATGCGTTTCCTTTTTTATTTTTTTGTCTCTTGCATCTCTATCCTTGCTCTAGCTAGGGTTTAGGGTTTAGGGTTTAGGGTTTAGGGTTTAGGGTTTGTGATGCAGGGGCCTCTCTTCAGCTGCCGCGCAAGCGAAGAGAAGGGCGTCTTCGGGTTTGGGGGTTCGCAGGTAGTGATATGGGATTTAGGAGAGACAGAGCACATTGCGAAGGCTTTCAAGCTCTAAACCCTAAACCCTAAACCCTAAACCCTAGGGCGAGGCAAGGAGACAGGAGGGGCCTCTTCGCGCCGCCTGTCTCTGCTTTTTTGGGGCTTTAATATTAAAGCCAAGAGGGCACAAACAAAGTGCATGCAATGCATGCATTCAGTTGTTTCCTTATAAAGGTTTGCTGATTAGGGTTTAGGGTTTAGGGTTTAGAGGGGTTTCAAATGCTTCATTAGCGCCAAAAACGAGCGCATGCATTTAGATTAAAAACAGACAAAAGGAGACAAATGCAGTGCAGTTACACCTCAGCCTCAGCTGCTAGCTTAAACCTATACAGACACTGCTGCTGCTGCTGTTGCTGCTGCTGTTGCTGCTGCTGTTGCTGTTGCTGCTGGTGGTAGTGGTGGTGGTTGTGCTGCTGCTGGTACTGCTGCTGCTGCTGCTGTTGCTGCTGCCGCCCAGTAGCTGTCCTGCATGCACGCAGCAGACAGCAGAAAGGAGACAACCAGCTGTCTCCTTGGAGCATTGAAACCCGTAAACCCTCGAGGGTTTACGGTGCCAAACCCTAAACCCTAAGCCCTAAACCCTAAACCCTAGGCGACGTACGAAATTGTTGAAGGGCGGGTGATTCCGGCTGCTGCGGCTGCTGCTGCTGCTGCTGCTGCAGCTGCTGCTGCAGCGCATGCAGCAGCAGCTGAAAGTTGCCGCGCCTTGCAACTGAAGCCAACTGCATGCAAAACAAAACAAAGCCCCAAAATGCAGAAAGGAAATTAAGAAAGGGTTTAGCTTCTGGCCTCAACTCGAGGGTCTACTACATCCTAGGGTTTAGGGTTTAGGGTTTAGGGTTTAGGGTTTACTGCATGCAGCCCCTGCCAGTCGCAGTAGTGGATTTGGGAGACCGCCTGCTTCTGCAGCTCCACCGACGAGGGTTCGTCGCCTGCACACAAAACCCTAGACCCTAATCCCTAAACCCTAAACCCTAAACCCTTGAAAGCTTCAGGTGGTAAGGGCTTAAGTTTGCTGCACTCCCCGCTAAGGGACCCTGATAAACCCTAGGCGACGTACGAAATTGTTGAAGGGCGGGTGATTCCGGCTGCTGCTGCTGCTGCTGCTGCAGCTGCTGCTGCAGCGCATGCAGCAGCAGCTGGAAGTTGCCGCGCCTTGCAACTGAAGCCAACTGCATGCAAAACAAAACAAAGCCCCAAAATGCAAAGAGGAAATTAAGAAAGGGTTTAGCTTCTGGCCTCAACTCGAGGGTCTACTACATCCTAGGGTTTAGGGTTTAGGGTTTAGGGTTTACTGCATGCAGCCCCTGCCAGTCGCAGTAGTGGATTTGGGAGACCGCCTGCTTCTGCAGCTCCACCGACGAGGGTTCGTCGCCTGCACACAAAACCCTAGACCCTAATCCCTAAACCCTAAACCCTAAACCCTTGAAAGCTTCAGGTGGTAAGGGCTTAAGGTTGCTGCCACTCCCCGCTAAGGGCGCTGAGGGTTTAGGGTTTACAAAAGCGAGGGTTTAGTTGAGGGTATGCGCTGCAAATGCGAGGGTTTAGGGTTTACGTCGGCGAGGGTTTAGGGTTTAGGGTTTAGGGTTTACCATCTAAACGGAGGTGGCGAAACGCGCTGAGGGCGCTGACGCATCCGGCAGGGTCTAAGTGCTTAATGCGAGGACGCAGCTGCAAGATACAAACCCTAAACCCTAAACCCTAAACCCTAAACCCTAAACCCTAGGCATCGAAGACAGATCTCACGGCCGATCGGAGCGTCGTAATAATATAATGCAAAGGCACGGCCTGCCCCACCCCAAGGACGCCAAACCCTAAACCCTAAACCCTAAACCCTAAACCCTAAACCCTAAACACTAAACCCTAGTCTCACATGAATCAAAAGATCGCCGGATAAAGAGGGAGACAGCTGGGGAAATTTTGATATGCTGTGCAGCAGCGTAGCGGTTTGGTGAGCCGTTAGCTTTTTGAGGTGTACAGACACCTGAGTAGCTGCTGCTGCTGCTGCTGCTGCTGTTGCTGCTGCAAAACCCTCTCGCTGCTGCAGTCTGGATAAGGCAGAGAGAGCCATGCAGCAACCACGAGCATCAATCTGTTGCAGCAGCAGCTGCAGCAGCAGAGCAGGGGGTCTTGGCTGCTGCTGCTTCTCTTCCTGTGCTGTCGGCTGCTCTGTTTGTTCTACTGTCGAGTCTTCGTGCTGCTGCTGTGGCTCTTGCTGCTGCTGCCTATTCCAGCCCATCGTGTTCGTCAGGCACTTGTCGCTGCGAAGCGCATCATAGGCTGCAACGATAAAAACCCTAAACCCTAAACTCTAAACCCTAAACCCTAAACCCTAATTAGGAAGAAGTGCTGAAGTGCTTTGGCCTACATTGACTGGCGGATAATCTCCAGGTCCGCAGGCGTGAATACCGGTTGCTGCTGCTGCTGCTGTTGCTGCTGCTGTTTCTGCTGCTGTTGCTGCTGTTGCTGCTGCTGGCTCCTGCGGATAGACATTTCCTCTTCATGAAAACGCGCAAGCGAATTCAGCAGCAACGCGACACCTGCAGCAGCAGCAGCAGAATCAGCAGCAGCAAAAGCTGCAATGGCAGCCAGGGTGTTGCTGTCTGTAGCAGCAACTGTGAGGACTGCCGCTGCTAGCCCTACTGCAGCAGCAGCAGCAGCAGGAGCTGCAGCACAAGCACTTGCAACAACGTCACCAGGAGCAGCAGCAGAAGCATTAGCAGCAGCAGCAGCTGCTGCTGCTGCTGCAGCAGGAGGCTTACTCTGCGGGTTTGCTTGGTGGGGATCGAGTGGGATCGTCTCCAGGCGATCCCCAGCAGCAGCCAGGAGACGGGGATGCAGCAGCTTCGCAGCAGCAAGTGCATTCAACGCCTGAGGCCGCAAACCCTAAACCCTAAACCCTAAACCCTAAAGGGAACGGCGCAGAGTGAGCTTGGTATACCTCATTGAAACCTTCTCTGCCCCGATTAGGGTTTAGGGTTTAGGGTTTAGGGTTTACGTACGAGCGCCAGCTGGAAGAAGCGACAATCCTTCATGACTTCCGGTTCCTAGGCACCGCACAAACCCTAAACCCTAAACCCTAAACCCTTAATCCTAAACCCTAATTCCTGAACGCTTATCGCAAAACTATCCGCACTTCGGCCCCAAACCCGTCAATGCAAATGTGTAGGCGTAAGGGTTTAGGGTTTGGGGTCAAAGTTGTAGAGCCTGGGGTTTAGGGTTTAGGGTTTAGGGTTTGTCGCACTGCAAGGCGGTCTGCTAAGAGACAGAAGACGCGGGTGTCTAGACAGTCCAGACCTGCGAGAGCCTGCAGAACGGCTGAGAAGAGCAAACCCCAAACCCCAAACCCTAAACCCTAAACCCTAAACCCTAAACCCTAAACCTTAAACCCTAAGCCATATGCTTGCTGTATGGTGGAGCCTATAAGCTAAGTAGCTCCAGAAGAAAACTCCCTAGCCCCCAAACCCTAAACCCCAAACCCTAAACCCTAAACCCTAAACCCTAAACCCTAAACCCTAAACCCTAAACCCTAAACTCAAACCCTAAACTCTAAACCCTAAACCCCAGACACTAAACCCTAAACCCTAAACCCTAAACCCTAATTATTTACCAGGGTATCCCTGCGAGGGTTTCAGGGGAAACGGGCTGCTGCAGCGGCGAAGCGTTTTGTGGTTTGCTGCTGCGGCATATGTCTGTTCGCCTGCACTTCCTTCTGCTGCTGCTGCTGCTGCTGCTACTGCTGCTGCTGGTACGGATGCTGCTGCTGCGGCTGCGGCTGCTGCTGTGGGCTCTGCTGCTGCTGAAATGCCTGCAGCTTATTGCTTGCATCATACTCATGCCGATGATCGGCGTCCTGCTGCTGCTGATGCTGCTGCTGCAGCTGCTGCTGCTGCTGCAGCTGCTGCTGCTGTCGCCTTCACTCCTCCTGCTGCTCCAGCTAGAAGAGATTCTCCAACAGCAGCAGCAAATGCTGGTGCTGCTGCTGCTGCTAATAATGTTGTTCTGCCCACGAGACAACCGGACCACGGGGGTTGCAAGCTCTGCTGCTGCTGCTCTTGTTGTAGTTGCTGCCGTTGTTGCTGTTGTTGTTGTTGCTGCTGCTGCGACAGGGCCGAAGAGGGCAGCGAAACGCCTAGAAGCAGCGGCAGCAGCAGCAGCAGCAGCTGCTGCTGCTGCTCTTTGTGCAAGCTGCTTGCGAAGCTCACTCATATTGCTGCTGCAGGTGTTGTAGTTGCTGCTGCTGCTGCTGCTGCTGCAGCTGCAGCTTCCGGTGTTGCCGCGTTTTTTGCTGCGGCAGCAGCTGCTTCTGCTGCTCACGCTGCTGCTGTTGTTGTTGTTGCTGCTGCTGTTGTCGTTGTTGCTGCTGCTGCTAGGCCTGCTACACAGCGCAGCAGGGGCCCCTCGGGGGCCCCCCAGCTCCCGAAACCCTAAACACTAAACCCTAAACGCTAAACCCTAAACCCTAAAGCGCTAGTTGCAATAGTTTAATCGTTAAATAAAGTGTAAAGGAGAGAAGTTCTCCGAATTCCGTAGATTAGGGTTTAGGGTTTAGGGTTTAGGGTTTAGGGTTTACCTGCTATAGCAGGGGACCTCGCATGCAGCCCTCGGGCCCTTCGGTACAATGAGGCACTAAACCCTAAAGCCTAAACCCTAAACCCTAAACCCTAAACAATAAAACACAACTTATTTGCAATGCAATGCTGATACGGGGCACCGCAGAGTCTTTTTCTTTGTTCTTTTGCCTCCACCTGCAGATCTAAACCCTAAACCCTAAACCCTAAACCCTTAACCCGGTCAGCATGGGTTCTTAATTTTCGGGTAGAAGGTTTTCACCTGTTCAGCTGCAGCTCAGTTACGCTGTTGCTGCTGCTGCAGCAGGAGCGGGAGAAGGAACAGCTGCAGCAGCAGCAGCTGCTGCTGCTGCAGCAGCAGGAGCAGGAGAAGGAGCAGCAGCAGCAGCAGCAGTTGCTGCTGCTGCAGCAGCAGCAGGAGCACTTGAGAGAAGTTTCTGCAGCAGCAGCAAAGAAGACCTCATTGCAGCGACTTTGTTGACTGAAAAGATGGTAGTCTGAAACCCTAAACCCTAAACCCTAAACCCTAAACCCTAAGCCATTTGTGCTGCAGGGTTTGGGGTTAAGAAGGCATCCGCTGCCCTGAGGAGTACGAACAGCAGCAGCAGCAGCAGAAGGGGAGGCAGCAGCAGGAGCGTCTTTGGATTTAAAGGTGGCGCATTAGGGTTTAGGGTTTAGGGTTTAGAGGATTTGTTGCTGCTGCTGCAGGCGGTGCTGCTAGTAGGAGACGAAAACCTTACTTTCTCAAGCTGTCTGCTGCAGCAGCTACGTGCAGAAACCCCTAACCCTAAACTTACTGTTGCTGTTACTCTAACAGCGGATAACTCCCGGGTACCTCCTAAACCCTAAACCCTAAACCCTAAACCCTAAGCCCTAGGAAGTACATACACGGTAGGGAACGACAGATGTAGTGTTTGCCGATAAGGCACAGCACAACACGTTGAGCGTCTCTTTTTTCGTGGCGTTTTGTGGTTTAGGGTTTAGGGTTTAGGGTTTAGGGTTTGCGGTGTTCAGGAAGAAGTGCTGCAGCGAGCAGCAGCATTAAGCGCTGAGGGGGTCTCTGTCTTGTTCGGCATATCCCCGCTACAACTAAAGACAGAAACCCTTCAGTCGCGTTTTCAGGAGTTTATTGCAGTGCTTCCGGGCCTCCCCTTCCACGGGTAAACCCTAAACCCTAAACCCTAAACCCTAAACCCTAGGTGGCAGGGCACAGCACAACACGTTGAGCGTCTCTTTTTTCGTGGCGTTTTGTGGTTTAGGGTTTAGGGTTTAGGGTTTAGGGTTTGCGGTGTTCAGGAAGAAGTGCTGCAGCGAGCAGCAGCATTAAGCGCTGAGGGGGTCTCTGTCTTGTTCGGCATATCCCCGCTACAACTAAAGACAGAAACCCTTCAGTCGCGTTTTCAGGAGTTTATTGCAGTGCTTCCGGGCCTCCCCTTCCACGGGTAAACCCTAAACCCTAAACCCTAAACCCTAAACCCTAGGTGGCAGAAAGCAGGGTTTAGATGATGTGGTCTGCGCCCCTGACGGTTCTTTATTAGGGTTTATTTCGATTTATTTATGCATAGGAGGGTTTAGGGTTTAGGGTTTATCAATTAGGGTTTATTAATTAGGGTTTAGGGGGCATCATTTCATGCTGCAGTGTTCGGGTTTACTGCTGTTTCACATCAACTTGCTAGGGTTTAGGGTTTAGGGTTTGTGCATATATAATTCATTAATTTTTAGGATTTGTTCAAGGGTTTCTCTGCGGTTTCTTAGACAGTTTAGGGTTTAGGGTTTAGGGTTTATGCAGAGATCGTCGTTGTACGGGGGTGCTTGCACGATTTAGGGTTTAGGGTTTAGGGTTTAGGGTTTGTGTTGCGTGCAGGTGTCCGGACTTTATTCCGTTTGCTTCGCCTCTCTTTCAGCTGCGGCTTCATCATTTTATATTCTCATGTGCGAAAGCAGCTAAAACTATCTGTTACCCTCATGGACAGTTTAGGGTTTTGTGGTTCTCGCAAACCCTTGCTGAGGGTTTAGGGTTTACGCTTCCTATACCCCCTGTAGACTTTGCTGCCCTCGCCACCTTCTGTCAGATCACAAGAACCCCACAAAATGATGTATGCACAAACCCTAAAC